AAACAGATATTGAAATTAGGTCTATATTACTAAATTCATATTAAAAGCCTGTAAATCATGCTAAGTGCATTTAAGAATTAGTAATTAATTGAACAAATAAGCCTATTGTGCCATATGGACTTTGTAGCCACTTTTATAATAAAAATAGATACATCTACTAAAAACAACTTGCCACTATTTTTGTACTCCCATATAGAAATATTATATATATTACCATTTTACTTGATCTTATTTATCTTCAACATTATCAAATTAACTCCACAACTAATTACTTTATGAAATTAAAATAAGAAAAATAAGAGAAACACTATCTCAATAATAAGTTGGAATGATATTCAACATTTAACCTTCTGATCAGATCACAATAAAGTAACATGTACCTGGCTTTTATTTAAATTTCACAAATTGGATAAAATTCTCTGTGTTCATTGTCGTCCAAAAGGCCATGTTTGACTAATTGACCACATTCTTATTCACTTACTTATTTCCAGGCTGAACTATGCCTGGCCCATGTGAACACTCAAGAAACGCTTTCTGAGCACTCTGAGCAGCCTGTCTTTCCCTTCTTCCTCTCCTTCCTCCCAGGGGGTTACCTTTGTCTTCCCATCTCTTAAGCTCCAAGGGCCCTTTTTTGCTTCTCTAACTTGTTTTCTGAGCCTACGCAGCCCATCTGGCTCACTTCTACTACCTATGTAACTGACTAATTAACTGTCTCATGTGAAAAAGAAAGAAGAGAGAGAGAGAGAGAGAGAGAGAGAGAGAGAGAGAGAGAGAGAGAGGGAGGAAGGAAGGAAGGAAGGAAGGAAGGAAGGAAGGAAGGAAGGAAGGAAGGAAGGAAAGAAGGAAGGAAGGAAGGAAAGAAGGAAGGATATTTAGTGATCATTGTAGTGTTTTGATACATGTACGTATTTTGAAAAAATTCCTTCCCATACATTTAATTAACACATCCACCACCTCATGTATTTATCTGTGTGTGTGTGTGTGTTTGTGTGTGTGTGTGTGTGTGAACATTTAAAGTCTATTCTCAGAAAATTTCACTTATCCAATAGTGTTATCAGTGTTCCATTATAGTCACCATGATTCATATTAGATCATTAGACCTTACATCTGAAGTCTGTACCCTTATACGAACCTCTCCCTATTTCCCTTACCCCTGTCCCTGGCCCCTTTCTAGTCTCTGTTTCGATGTGTTAGTAATTTTTACTCTTTGGTTTCTATTTTCAGCAGAATAACCCTGATATGCAATAAAGTAAATTGTCCAGTATGTAAGAGGACCGGGAAATGATGACCAACTTTCACAGTCCTTGTATACCTTTAGTACTTACACTCCACCTTGAACACTGACACCTAGTATTAATAAATTGGGGGAGGGATATACATTTTAAAAATATAAATGCAGATGTAGTGACAGAAAGAGGACTGATGACAAATAAAACTCAGTCACCAGGTGACTTAAACAGGGGTTCAATTCCACTGCCTGTGTGCTCCTTTATCCAGAGACCTCCATGGCCATGCCAGGAAGGGACAGGAGTCAACAATAACATGTATGTGCTGAAATAGTTGATGAATTCTAGGAGACACAATGAGCTCCGCTTAGGTAAATTCAGCAACAAATGAGGAGGTACATAATTTCTAATTTTAGTGATTTTCTTCTAACTGTTTTGTAGTAAAGGTAAATAAAATAAGATTCATTAGCCCATAAAAAGAAAACTGATGATTTATAAGGGTCCAGTATATACATTAAGACTTTGTCTCTTTGTATACAAATAGGATATGCAAAACATCATTGTTACTACATAATATCCCATTAGTTGTAGAGTTAATTTGATGATGTGATTTATCACTATTAAATTAAGTTTTATTGTTGAATGTCTACCTTTTTTGCATCATTTTTTTCTTTTCCATATACTTTAGGATATAGAAAGAATACACTCTTCATGTTTTTAAAAATTTATCCAGATTAATATCTATAATTAAATTATCTTTGCCTCTATCCCTACCTCTAGCAATATCATTATTTACATATAACAATCTCACAGAAAATGTTTAAATAATTTATTTTGGTTTGCTCCCCCGCAACAGAAAGAGCAAGGAAACTACTTAGAACTTAGGTCAACTCATCACTTTTATTTATACATTATTATTTAAAATGTCAACAACCAATGTTACCAAAGCCATCTTGAGTGTGGAGTGCTTTACTAAATAAGCAACCCTATCAAAAAACAAAGAAGTAAGTGCGTTTGTATATGTTTCAGCATTTAGAAAACAAAAACTAAAATAATACATGTATGCAAATGGACAGGTATTTAAAACAGAGACCCTTATCAGAAGTGCACATTCTCATTTCCTTTCCTATTCCATGATGAGCCAATGAGGCACACCCTTTGCCCTTAACAGTCTACTTAGTTTTTTGTCTTGTACATTTTTATTTTATTTTTTAAATTATTTTTATTAATTTATTTTTGTTACAGATGTTTCTTCTTTTTCTCCCATTGATACCCTCTTCCCCATCCCCCTGCCCCATCCCCAGCTTTGCTGTCTATGTCCATTGGTTATGCATACATGCATATAAGTTCTGTGGTTTATCTCTTCCCTCCCACCACCCCCTCTTCCAAGGTTCGTCAGTCTGTACCCTACTTCCATGTCTCTGGGTCAATTTTGTTCATCAGTTTGTTTAGTTCATTATATTCCACAAATAAGTGAGATCATGTGATATTTGTCTTTCTCTGCTTGGCTTGTTTCACTTAGCATAATACTTTCCAGGCCCCTCCATGTCCTTTCAATGGATAAGAGCTCTTTCTTTCTTAGAGCTGCATAGTACTCCATTGTGTAAATGTACCACAGCTTTTTTATCCACTCATCTACTGATGGACTTGGGTTGTTTCTAGATCTTAGCTATTGTAAATAGTGCTGCTGTGAGCACAGGGGTACATACATTATTTCTGTTTGGTATTTCAGGTTTCTTAGGGTATATTCTTAGAAGTGGGATCACTGGGTCAAATGGCAGTTCAATTTTTAATGTTTTGAGGTAACACCATAGTGTTTTCCATAGTCCAAACAGGACATACAAATGGCCAAGAGACATATGAAGAAATGCCCAACATCACTAATCATCAGAGAGATGCAAATTAAAACAACAATGAGGTATCACCTCACACCTGTCAGAATGGCCGCCATCAACAAATCATCAAACAACAAGTGTTGGCGAGGGAGTGGAGAAAAGGGGACTCTAGTACACCGCTGATGGGAATGCAGACTGGTGTAGCCACTATGTCTTGTACATATTTGAAATCAAATGATATTCCCAAGCTCTTGCATTGGGTGTATGTTAAATTAATTCACTGTTTCATGACATTCTTAAAGCTACTGAAACTTTTGGGAAATCATATCATATATGGCACTATGCAAATATGCAATTTTCTGAATATAATGAATTTCTAGCAATTACTTATTTACTACCATCATATTCTATATACTCAGTTTTATTAAATTGCTCCAAGATTCTCTGTTTCTGAGGCAGTTTGATTAATGAAGGTTCTGGGCAGAGGAAATTAGTTGAGACTTAGGGAGTAGCTAGGAGTAGTATATGTAATGAAATAAATACATGGCTTTTATGTCCGCAGGTACAATGATTTTTTTTTTCTTTTAGCTTCCTTTTTTATATCTAGTTTAGGTATCTGCATCTAAACAGACAAACTAAAAATCCTCCTAAATTCCCTTGAGTCTGAGCAGATGTTATAAATGCCAGTGATTTAAAGGGCAGTTCATCACGAGCGGTTTCGAAGCACTGAAATCCTCCTTGGTTGAAGATTTACTCATGCACAGCCTGTTCCACTGCCGCCCACCCTGACAGTGTGAAGGCAAATTCCTGGAGAAGAACAGACCCAACAGGAATCACAAAGACAGAACGCTCAGCACGCCGTGGAGGAAAAGGCAAGAGCAGCCAAACAGCAACATGGATAAACAGTAGGACAGGAATTTAATAGGCAAGAGTTTTCAAAGCTAGAAATATTATCTCATTCATCAAAATATTTTTGAATAGTAATACTAAAATATGTCATAGACTTAGGGCTAATTTCAATGATAATGTTTCATGTATCTGAACAAGTTTCCAGAAAACTATTTTGAAAATTTTTAAAAATATTGCTTTAAATGAAGGATTTTTATAATAGAAACTTTCAAAAATACTAAATGTTAACAAATAAATAAGAGATTGTACGTTTACTCATTATTAAAATCATTATTTGATTTTAACAGAAAAAATTTAACAGAAATACTTAGAGGATAGTGACAGTATAAATAAGTATATAAATAGATAAACTGACACATAAATAAAAAAATAAAACCATATTTATACAGAGAAAAAAATTAAGTAGTATCACTTGATATATCAAAAGTCAGAGGTGCATTTATCACTACATGGACTACAAAAAAATAATAAAAATTTTGAAAAAAATGTGTTGGTAAGTAATTATCCTTATGGTTCATGAAAAGATGCTTTAAACAAGCTTTGGAGCTGTTTCACACAGGGATTGGTTATATCATACGTGCCCATTCTGCTCAACCGCTAGCTGCCTGGAGGGAGGGAGTGGGAGTGGCTGTCCCGGCTCCAGAGGAAGAAATGCAGTGATTAACTACTGTACAGCAGGCTGACTCGCTGAAACACAATCTGTTCATATTTATGGTCCCTTCTGTCTTTGGAAGGAGTAAGCTGGACATTGACACCATAATTTCAAAAGCAAATGCCTTTCTTGAGAACCATCTACCGCACCACAGTGATACTTGTTCTCTGTGAGATACTCTCAGCTGAATTAGTCATATTCTAGGGCTAGGGAATAAATTGTCTCATACTCTTGCTATTTTTTTTTTCACAGTGTTCAGTGTGCATTAATGACTGAATACTTTAGAATCCAAGTTCCATAATAAACTTCCAAGCCCATATCATGGGAAAAGCATAGAGTGAACTACACTAATTTTGGAAACAAAACAAAATCACTCACGTTTTGTATACTGTTGCTTCAAAGTCTGGGTGGCTTTACAAAGAGTTATTATTCTTTATTAAGAAAAATTGCAAAGCACTTCCTACAATTCTCCAAACTGTCATTTATGCCAGAACACTCTAAAAATAATAAAGGATATTAAGATAAAGGAAACAAATAAAGAGAAATTAGTGAACAAAAAGCAAAACTAGAGTATACCATTTCTAAAAAATACTTTAGTCTGACTGGTTTTCATAAACATAATTTTAAAAAAAGCATGGATACACACACACACACACATACACACACACACACATATATACACACACACACATATACATATATAATAATATATACTCTTATTTTAGGATCTATCATTCAGATAGAACTCTTCTGACAATCACTATACTATTTAATAGTTCCAAAAGAGATGAAAAATGTTCTGCGATTAATTTGTTTAATATTTTTCAGAGTAAAAATTTCAACTATTTATCAATTATCATGCTTATCATCCATACTCAATTATCATTTTACAAATGTTTCAACTTTCTTTCCAAAATAATGTATGCCCAAAATATTATATAATAATTTATATTCCAAAATAATTATAATTTATATCAATTAATAAACCATATAACATTTAGTTTATCTAGGCATTTTCTTTCCTCCCTCTTTTATTTTTCCATTTTGATATATGCATATATATATATAAGACTTCCTAAATTATTTCTGTAACAGTGCAGAGTACTAAGTAAAAACTTTTTTATTTTTCTGAGCATTACTCTATTAGGGATGAGAAAGTATAATGTCCTATCCTTTTCCTCAAGGCTTTTAAAATCTATTCAAATGTTTAAATGTGAATATTAGGTATAGATGCAGTCATGTAATGAGGGCTACAGACCACATATATTTAAGTGGCAGAAGTGGAAATGATTATTAGGTGTCAGACTTGGAAAAGGAGATGGGTTAGAATGTGCATTAAAAGATAAGTCGACTTTTAACAGATTGTCAGGAGAGAAGATACAATCCACACGAGGCAGAAATCCCAGACAACATGACAAAGTCATGGAAGCTGGAACATGCAAGTGACCTTTGCCTGGGATGTGGGTTGAAATTAGTATGAATTTGTTTTTATGTTGTGGATGAGAACCTATATTTTAGGTATAGAATTTAAAATTTTACAACAAAAATAATATCTGTGTAAAGAACAGGGCAGGGATTTGAGCTAATGATGAGATTAATGTAATTAAGGTCTTACAAACATTACTATGGGACAACAGGGTGAAACAGTGATATATGCAAACAAGATAATATAAAACGTTTGGTTACAAACTAATTGATTTTAAGCAATGACAGTAAAAGTGAAAATAAAAGAGTTACGGGTCTTTTAAGGCCACAACTTTGTTAAGTTGAATTATTTTCACAGTACCTACAATAGTGTCTGGAGTATGGCAGAATTCCATGACATATAAGAAAGGAAGGAAGAGAGGCACACAGAAAGGCGGTTATTAATCATGTTCTGCATTTGGCATTGCACAAGGCAATTTCACATATAACATTTATTGTATAATCATCTTAGCCTCTAAGATAAACAGTATTATGCCCATTTTCCCATAAAGAAACAGTAAATCAGATTATGAAATGTCATTTGATGGGATAATTCTAAAACTTGAATTAGTAAGTAAATTTTCATAAATGTTGAGCCCAGGTACTTTCAACAACATTGGCCTATGGGAAATAGAAAAATTCTAACCCATTCAAGTTATAAATTATGAATGTTCAAAGGACGAAATAAATATGAAAGTATCTTGAAAATGCCAATGCTTCAGAGATCCCCTAAATTTAGATGATTGCTACTAAAACATTAGTTTTTAGTTATGATGACAAGAAAACTACTAGTAAAATTTAACTTCAACATTTAATATACAGTTCAAAATAACTATATTCTTCTGTTTATATAGTTATCATCCTCACTCAAATATAAAAACTTCAGAGACTGTGTTCATATTTGTATTACTCATTTTGAAACCTCAACAGTAGTTCCATGAGTATTTAACAGAAATTTTGATTAAATAAAACTTTTAGATATTTATTTTATCTACCTTTTTAGTTCTAAAAAAGAATTAAAATTCCTTGGTTACTTGCTGTTTTTTCACATTTTTATTGTAGGGCTAATCAATTATTTTAAAACATTATTACTCCCATATTATGCAGATTATATGCCCTTTAAGTTTGCAATATTAATAATTGTTATGAGAGTTGACATGGAACCAAAGCAAAACCAAATCTTACAGAATATTTTACAAGCCTGTGAAGTTTTACTCTACCCTATAAAGGTTATTCTTTTATGAAAATGTATATTCTCTGAACTTGGAAATATAATTACCATTAAAATTAGTAAAGCAAAATTAGTTCAGTAGTCAACAAAGAACTGTGTTATATTATTCGTACATTTGATACTCAAAGATTAATGAAATGTTCATTGCCAGAAAACAGGTAAGAGGATTTAATGAAAACAAAGCAAAGGATTCGTGTGATTGCTAATTCTGTGTACCAGCAAACCATGAGTATCCCAAGAAAAGAATTTAAAGCACCCTCAGCCAACCATGAAATAGTGAAGCTGACCACATGACTGCATTTATTACAAAGAATAAAATTCAAATTAAGTCCTCATAAATGCAAAGTGATGTATTGTTAAGCAAAGTGAAGTTATTAAATGAAACATTTCAGAAAGTCTGCTGTGATCAAAATGGCATGTGCAGCTGGACAGTTACAATTGTATTAGAAAAGTAATCTTTATCACTATAATTTCATTTTTAAATATCTGTATTTTAAAAATTATGTATAACATTATTTCTAAATGATTTACAATTTATTTCCTCAAATTTTCTTAGAGATCCATTTTATGCAAATACTATCAAGATTAAAGATAAAGAGAAAAATTTGATGGGACAAGTAAAATTGTTTGATAATGGTCATTACCTGCTTAAATTACAAATTATACAAGGTCATGTCTTTATGCAACGTAGAACAAATTCATTAAAACACACAGTTCAGACATCAAATTATCTGCAAATTATTCTCACTTAATTCTTAATTGGATTAACAAACTGTTTTATTTTTAAAATTTATTTTATATTACAATGAGAAATATATTCTTAAAAACTTAAGAATGGAAGATTTAATATATATACAATTGATAATAAGTATTTCATTCGTGTGTCATACAAAATCTTCTCAGTTTAAAATGAGATTTTGAAAATTGCTAAATGACAATGGAATTCAAATCAATCTTTAACAGAGGGTATAGCAAGATTTTCTTTGAAATGCCATGCCTTTTCAATATCAAATTTTCATAATCAAAAACAGAAAACATTGGAATGGATCTGATAAAAAGTAGTTATCTACACTTGCTTTTGGAGTTAAAAAACAAAAACAGGCAACAACAAACAGTAAGGGTGGAGGGAAAAGCAATCTGTGCAGTTTATAAATTCAGAAGACTTTCTTTTTTTTTTTTTTTTTTATCCTCACCCGAGGACATTTTTCCATTTTTTGTTCAGGTAGAGTGGGAGGGAGAGAGAGGAACAGAGAGAGAGAGAGAGAAACATCGATGTGAAAGGAACACATCGAATGGCTGCCACCCGCACTACCGACCAGGGCCGGGGACATTTTGACAATCACAATGGTAGGTCTTTTACTTGCTTAGCATTGTAGATAATTCAATTTTAAGATACACCTGAAACTTGTTTATATATTTTTAAAAATTTTAACTGCCTATGCCATTTTAATTAGCAAGAGTGAAAATCTTATTATGTCTTTCCACCATCAATAGAATAGATTTACCTAGTTTAATAGGAAGCAGATCTTATACTTCATCTCTACTTATCAATTTAGTAATGCCTTTTTAAATGAGGTTGATTCCTAAGTGTGTGTGTAATGTAAATAAAATTAAACTAACAAAAAAAGTCTTCATTTTTACATACCCCAAACAACAACCATCCAGTAAGTAGATTTGTATTTGGGTTAGCTAAAAGTACTGTGAGTTTATTGGTCAAGTTTGTAAGAGACTCAAAATGGTGTCCACCACTTCTTTGTCAATTGTACAGATTACTTCATAGATCAAGTCTTTTTTTCGGCTCCTAATTTGAAACAAAGATGTTTAGAAGTTGGGTGAAAATACTGTAAACTTATATAATAAACTAGAGATAGATATTATTATTTATATTTACATATTAATAATATATTATACTATTAAATATTCTATTCTATTATTTATATATAAATACTAATGTCAGAAGATAAAAGCATACAATAGCATTGGAATCAGAAAAAATGAAGTTTCAGAGAAGACTGGGGCTTGGCCAGTCTTCCACCAGGAAATATTGAACACGTCACTTAATCTCTTTAAACTTCAGAGTTTATTTAGCATTTAATTTTATTTTTGTTACAGATGTTTGTCCTTTTTTTCCCAATTGACACCCTCCTCCCCATCCCCCCCCACACTGTCCTCAGCTTTGTTGTCTATGTCCATTGGTTATGCATACATGCATATAAATTCTGTGGTTTATCTTTTCCCTCCCCCCCCCCACATCTGAGGGTTGTCAGTCTGTACCCTACTTCCACGTCTCTGGGTCTACCCTATTCCTCAGACTGTTATGTTCATTATATTCCACAAATAAGTGAGATCATGTGGTATTTGTCTTTTTCTGCTTGGCTTGTTTCACTTAGGATAATACTTTCCAGGTCCCTCCATGTCGTCTCAAAGGATAAGAGATCTTTCTTTCTTATAGCTGCATAGTACTCCATTGTGTATGTGTACCACTGCTTTTTTATCCATTTGTCTACTGCTGGACATTTGGGCTGTTTCCAGATCTTAGCTATTATAAATAGTGCTGCTACAAACATGGGGGTACATATATTCTTTCTGATTGGTGTTTCAGGATTCTTAGGGGATATTCCTAGAAGTGGGATCACTGGGTCAAATGGAAGTTCAATTTTTAACTTTTTGAGGTAACACCATATTGTTTTCCATAGTGGCAGCACCAGTCAGCATTCCCA